GCGGCGCCCCCCCTCCCTTTGTTCCGCCCCCTGGGAGGTAACCGGTCGAACAGGCACCTCCCTGTCCCATCAGCTACTCGGCTGGGCCGTGCTGCAGCCAGTGGGGGTCACCCACAGCCCAAGCCCAGCAACCAGCAAGGTCCCCCCACTACGGCACACGGGGAGATGAGAATGGCCCAGGACAGCAAGGGGCAGAAGAGCAAGGTCCGGGGTGGGGGCGAGATGCCCCCATCTTTTTGGCTTCTCTGTGCAGCCTCAGGTGTGTCCCTCCATGCCTCAGTTTCCCCAGCTGTAAATTGGGGCTAAGCCTCACCTTTAAACAATTACCATTGATGACGTGCACGGTGAGCTCCTTAGCGTCACGGGCGGCGGGTAATACAGGCAAGGGGCACAGAGAAAGCCCTTCTAAGCTGTGACATCTCGGGTGAGACTCATTCCCCTGCCTCCAGCCCCCGCTTTGAAGGGACCCCAGAACCCCATCTCTGCGCCCCAAATCACTGCCGGGCCCGTTCCCAGGACTGTCTGCATGGTCGGGGTTCTCTATGGCAGCCGTGTGGGTGCCCTCCTGTGCCCCATTTGGGTGCCCGGCACCCAGGGGTCCCCTTGCTCCCAAGCGCCCACAACGCCGGAGTGCTCGCCGGCTCCTGCGGCGTGGCCGTTCCAGGGGGTTAGTTCTCCAGGAGAGAGGGGATCGGCCGCCCGCCCTGCGATCTGACGGCTGCATGTCTGTGTCTTGGGTCCCGCCCGCTGGGCTCCGGGACGCTGTGCATGGCGCTGGGGAGGCCGCCCCAGGCTCCGTTCTCCCCCGGCGGGACGGGGCCCACTGACCCTGGGCTCTTCTTTCGCTCTAGATTGAGGAGCGTGAAAATGGAGCAGCGGAAACTGAACGACCAGGCCAACACCCTGGTGGATTTGGCCAAGGTGAGATGCTGGGGGACGCCCGGCTGGAGCGCAGTGTGTGCAGCGGGGCTGAGGCCTAGTGGTGAGAGCACTGGCCGAGGGCCAGGACTCGTGGCGTCTCTGCCTTGTTCTGGGAGGGGAGGGGAGGCTCTTGGCTGAGGCTGCTAGGCAGGCATCCTGGGTTTTATTCCCAGCTCTGGGAGGGGCGGGAGGGCTGGGTTCCCCCCCCGGCTGCAGGAGGGGAGAAGGGTGTAGTGGTTAGAGCACAAGATCGCCACTTGGGACTCCTGGGTTCTACCACCGGTGATAGGAGGGAAACAGGGTCTGGTGTCTTAGCGCAGATGGGGAGGTGTCAGGATCTCTGGGTTCTATCCCAGGTGATGGGAGGGCAGCGGAGTCTAGTGGTTAGAGTGAGGGACTGGCAGTCTGGGTCAGGGCCTGTCCCCTGGGTCGGTGTCCGAACCCGGGGGAGGGATCTCGGGGGCCCCGTCGAGACGGCGTCGGGCCTGAGCCCCTGTGCTCAGCGTCCGGCCTTGCCCCATCTCTCCGCCAGACCCAGACCATCATGTACGACATGATCTCCGAGCTGCAGGAGCGCAGCGAGGACCTGGAGAAACACCTCAGCGCCCTGGAGAGCAAGATCGACTCCCTGAGCCTCAGCCTGCACACCCTGCCGGGGCTCCTCCGCCAAGCCATCCGCCAGCAGCAGGAGCTGGCCAAGAGCTGCACCCCCCGGGCCTGGCCCGTCTCCCGCGG